AGTTTCTCACTACAGAGGACAAACTAGTGGTTGCCAGAAAGGAGAGGTATTGAGGGGGCTGGGTGAAAAAAGTGAAGGAATTAAAAAGCACAAATTAGCAGTTTAAAATAGGCACAGGGATGTAGGAATATAGTCAACTGTATTGTAATGATGAAGTATGGTGCCAGGTGGGTACTAAACGTGTCAGGGCCATCAGTTTGTAAGTTACATACATGTCTAATCACTATGTTGTATGCCTGAAAGTAATATAATATTGTATGACAACTTTAATTGAAAAACTAAATAAAATAAAAAGAAACTCATCATTAATTTAATTAATTGACCATCTATGGGTCTGAAATCCCTTTGTGATCCTTTCAAATATGTTTGTTTCCAGAACCTCCTAACTACTTGCAAAGTACTGTATGAATTGACTGTCTCTTACACTTCTAATTATTTCAAACTCTTGGGGTCTCTGAGGTTATGGAATAGATTATGCCGGACTATTTTAACTTCACAGTAAAACAGGCTTGCTGTTCAGTTACTACACTGTATCAACAGAACAGAGGCTGTTTGATTGTGCTATTAATGGTTTTTTCTTGTTTGTTTAGTTTTGTTAATATCTCATTCTGGAACTGAGCTTTCCCAGCCTCCTCTTCTTCCATTTTCCAGAGTGCATGTTGTTCCAGAAAAGGGCAATTAATTCTTCAATAATTCTTTGCACCACACAATCTAAAGCTCTCCTCTACCTCCAGCTCTGATAGACTCTTTCTCAATCCCTACTTTGTTCCCTTCACAGCATTTATCGCAATTTGTGATTTTGAATAACTAGTTGTTATTCTTTGAAAGTCTATCTCTTCCAGTAAACGGTAGGTTTCATGAAAACGGCATTTGCCTATTCTGTCTGCTGCCATATCCTAGTGCCTAACCATGTGGTTGGCATATAGGAAGTGCTCAGAAAATCTGCTGAAGGAAAGAGTGAATGAAACCTTAGACCTTCCTATGCCATCCATATCTCTTTTTCTTCCTCTCTTTTCTCTCCCCACTTTCCTCGCTGTGGTCTTTCTCTTCCATCTACTTCCCTCTTTCACTCAATTCTCTTAATTCCATTAATTCAACCAACCAGCACTTCTGAAGACCATCTCCATTTAAGTCATTATGTTTTGCACTGTGAAAGACAAAGTAAACACAACTTCTTCTCATGAGGATCCTACAATCTTCATTCTTGTGTTTTATATCAGAGATCATGAACTTCCCAGACTCTCAAAATAATGATTTGTTATCAGAACAATTCTAATACCAAATAATTGAGCCTGTCAACCCCCAACAACACACTCATCATTGCCAGCTGCTGGGTGCTTTGGTGGAGTGAGTACACAATGTGGTTGTACACTCAAGTACAGAGCTCCAGTGACCACTGACAATGACAGCAAACCCCTGGCAGGTCTACTGAAGAGACCTGTTCCATGTGACTGTGTCCTGCTCCCTGTGGCCCCAATAAGTTCTCCTAACTCCCTAATATTATATTAAAATTACAGAATATATATATTAATAATTTTAATTATTACAGAATATTTAATATTCTGTAATTTTAATATACAGAATATATATATACATATATATGTGTGTGTGTGTGTGTGTGTGTGTGTGTATATATATATATATATATCCCATTGGCATTGCAGCTCTTCTCTCTTATCTGCCCACAGCCCATTTTTCTAGAAATTGTCCCAAAGTAGAGACAGACATAGGTGGTCATGTTTGAGAGAGAAAAATGCCACAAAACCTTACTCCTTTGGCCCCTAATGACCCAATCAAGAGTGGTATCCCTATCCAAAGAGAACTGATTCAAAGTTGGGCTGAGATTCAATTCATAGGCTGAGCCAGGCCAATATCTCTTTCTCTCTTTCTCTCTCTCCCCAAAAATTTGGATTAGAAAACATAGGAAACCTAGCAGTATTGGTTTGAGCTTGTAAGATTGTTCAACACAACATCAGGGTTGGGCCATATGCAAATAGAGAGTGCTTTCTAAAAAGCAAAATGGAATCAGATGGTCACGGAGAGAAGCAAAATGACAGATATCATGAGGGATGAAAAAATCGTCTTTGCTCCTTAGCAGCTTCCCAGAGCTTATTCTCATGAGGACTGGCATGATCTGATCCATGTTCATGGGTCTGCCCTAGACCCTTACTTAGCTGGCCTAAGGGAAGATTTGTTCCTTAAAATCTAGGGGCATTAATCCAAGCACATCTTTCTACACAGAGTTCTCTTTTGGTCATTGTTAAATTTGTCCTTTCTATATAATTCTGCTCTTGAATTCAGATTTACTTGTAAAGATGTGAACTCAGTCTTCCATCCCTTGAAGAAGCTGCCTTAGTTCACCTGCTAGGAAGTTCTGTAGGTTGACCTACCTGCATGCCCCCCAGCCTTCAGCTGTCTTCTCCTGAGTTAGTATTGCAATTATCTACCCACAGGCATGTATCTAATTATAGCAAGAGTTTTAAAACGTTTTTTTAGCTAATTTTAAACACATTATAAAAGTGATATTATTGGCTACAGGAGGTCATAATAATAACATTCTAGACATGTGCTTTGTTCTGTGTGCATTGTTTCACCTGCACTAACCCGAAGACCCACAGCAATAGCACACCTATCTGTTGTGTCAGGGCCAATCTCTTCTCCATCTCTCCTTGCCAGGGATAAAGGCGAAAGAATCTTCTTTTTCAAACATAGTTTGTTCAAGTTTATAGAAAGTGCTCACAACCAATATAAACAAAGAAAAACTTTTCAATCTAATGGATATCAGTTCAAAGATCTCATGTTTAACAAAGAATTTGAATGAAGTATGAAACAGGGAGATGAAATGTAGGTGACACCAAAAACAAAATAATAATCAAGGAGTTGACTAATACTAATCTAAAGCTAGGAGACTTTGCTACTGCTCAGAACCAGGATTTAGTACAATTTCATAATTATTTAATAATATTCATGTCCTCAATAGCCCTAGATGGGGAGTGAGGAAGTCATTAAACTCAGCTATTTTTCAGCCCAAATGAAAGACAAGAAGATATATGGGGGACAAATGGTAATGGAAAAAATTAATAAAATAAAATAAAGGAAAATATAAAATAAAGACAAGGGACTCATGTGTAATTGCAAAGCTGCTTATGACTTCCTTTGAGTATTATTTACTTACTAATCATGTCCTCAAGTCATCTGCAACAGGCTAAGAGGCTATCTGGAGAGGTCATTGCAAATTTTTTTAATTACTCAGTTTGGATATACAAACAGACTAGATTTATGGAAGAGTTTTGGCCATTCAACAGAAAGGAAAATGTAATATTTAAGGTACAGAAATATCACAGCAGAGAGATACATTGTGGGGTATCTGCCCAGCTCTCTAGGACCCCTCTCTCCAAAAACTCCTTCACTCCCCCAAATACACAGGACTGTAGTGGGAGAGACCTGCTCCAGAACTCATTAACTATTATACAAATTATCTTTCACTTGGTAGCTTTGTCTTTATATTCTCAGGGCTGTTGTAAGAATTAAATAAGATAATGCTTAGAACCACACCTGGCACTTAGTATATAATACATGCCAGCCATTATTCCTGAGCTCCAGGGTCCTGGCCTAACTCACCTGTGCTGGAACAAGCGGATTTCTGCCCTGGGACTTTGGAGTTGGGATAAAGTCAGCCTTTGCACGGGGCTGGCCTGGAGTCTGAAACCTCAGCACTTTGCTTTAAGGTCTGAAGAGCAGAGAATGAGTCTACAAAGAGAGGAACAACCAGCCTCAGTGGGAGAAAGTTGGACCCGGCTTCCTCATTGTTTCCCTTTTCTGCCTCAGTTCCTGGGCTGAGTCTGCTGGCCTGTCTGCCCTCAGTTTCTAGAGGACACCTGTTTGTTTATTTTTAAAGTATCCTTTGTCTTTAGACTAACTCCAGGGGTCTTTAATTTGCAGTTAAGAATCCTAACCAATACATCTGCACCTAGAAGAAAAAGATTAAATGTGCTGAACAAGAAAAAGCAGAAGGTGCAGACTTGAAAATCCCTGTTATTATCAGAGTGAAATTGCTTGAAAGCGGCAAGTGAAAGGAAACACCCTCCCCTTTCTAATGAATGAGCATGGGGTACTTCCCCAGAAGCTCTGCTTCAATCTGCTTTTTACGCCCTAGGATTTGATCCTTTTTGACCCAAGACATATGAGATTAAGTCTTATTTCAGGGTTTTGTCAAAAAATAAAAAATGAAGATACATAGCAGATGTGTCCAGGGTGTTCATAAACAGGAGTCTCCACTGCAGAACTTTTAAAGACAAAGGAAAGGCTGGGTAGGTGGGGATAAGAGTGCTTTTTCTCCCCAGAGATATTTCTCAAGGAGAAAACAGTTTTTATTTTAACAACATTAAACAAGGTTTCAGCAAGAAGAAAGGGAAAAAGAAAATTGTGTTACCTTTAGATGTCAAAATAAAACATAGACCAGAAATGTTTGTCTCCCTCTCTCCCTCAAGTCCACCAAATCACTGACTTAACAATATAAGAAGAATTTCCTTTGCTTCAACTGAAAAAAAAAAAGAGGGATTTGGGAATCTGAGTCTTTTTTTTAGGCACTTTTACCCTGAACAAGTCACTTCACTTTAAGGATCCCGAGAGTTTATTCCCTTCCGTCTGGAGATTGTTCAGGCAAGGACAGCCTCAGGCCGAGATTATAATGTTTTCATTTAGTTCTGTACTCCCATTAATTTTTACTCTACTTCTTAGAAAAATGATGCTGGCAAAATCTAAAAGAGATTCCCCCAAAATGGAGTCTGGCGGTGGAGGCTTCATCATTTGGCCTCTTTTGTCAGCAGTGCAGTACCCACCTCCCAGAGACCCCAGGGTGCATGAAAGGTGCGCCTCCCAGGACGGCGTGGGGCTGGGAGCGACTCAAGCTTCCTCAACAGCAGACCTGGCTGGAATGTGCTGTACGGGGTGAGGTGGGTATACTCCTACACAAATGATATTCTGGAAAAACAACCTACCTGGATTGAAGTAAAAAATAATATTTAATAAATCCTGGTCTCCCCAAGTGATGGAATTCTTGTACTTCTGGTATAGAGGGTACAACATGTCCTCCCAAGTTAAGCCTGTTGGAATCATGCTGTTCTGGAAAAGAGAAAACATCAGAACAGCTGAAGCAAAGCAAATCCATCTTATCTACTGAAAAACAACGTAGAGGCGCTGGACTCCTTTTCCCCAAAAAAGCAAATAGAGGAAGGGTTCCACTGACCTGAAGGCACAGGACAAGCAAAACTTGGGCTATAGATTGTAGGGTTTTACATGTACACATGAACACTAGATGAACCAGGAACTGGTAATTGGGACATAATTTCTACTTAGAAAACCTTGCCCCAAATTGAACCTCTTTCTTATGTTTAATTCTTGCCTCTGAAGTGAAGAAACAAAATAGGAATAACAGAATTATGGCCTCCTAAGAAAAACACCCTTTTCTTGTCTTAAAGTGATCATTTAATTTAAAAATAAAAGCAACACATTCACAGACTAACTATTGCAACAGCATTCGAAGATATAAAATTCAGTAAAAATACTCTTCCTCCATCCTCCCACAATTCCCATTCCCACTTTCCCTAGAATTATCCAATTAACAATTAATGGTCTCTTAGGTATTTTTCTGGAAATTTCTATGGCCTAAAAGGGAGAACACTCTACAATATCATGCTTGTTTTATTTTAGTTATTTCACTTAATATTGTTTAAAGATATTATTTATCTCACTTATAGATTTACCAAATTCTTTTTCATAGGAGGATAATATTTTTGACTACTTCTCTGCTAATGTTCATTTAGGTTCTTTCCAATTATTTGCTAGGATAAAAGATGAGGCCAAGCACTGCCTTGCACAAATATCTCTGTGTACTTATGTACATATACTCCTAAGGCAATTTCAAGAACTTTCCCCATGGCTTTTGCGGCATGGGGTACACATGGAGCTCAAACGGTATGGAATTCAGAAATGCAGCACAGTGGTCCTGAAGAACAACTCTGCTGAAGCTTCGAATTCAATAGTCACCTGGGCTTCCCCCAAACAAACAAACAGTCCACAACTCTCCAAACACTTTTCCTGGTTCCTTCCATCCTCACTTGTAAGTCAACTACTTCCAAAATCAGCACCCTGACTCTGGAAAAGACAAAATTCCAATTTTTAAACAAGGGAATATAAAATACTTCCTTACCTTGAACTGAGCACTTCTTATACGAGTTAAATTCATTAGCATGACTCCTGAATTAACCCCTGCAGAGCCATAGAAAGGGTGTTGAGCAAAGCGGCTGTACCAGCCAATCTTGGGGATTTCGTGCTCTGGGGCCATGGCTGCAAGCTGGGTGGAATTAAACTGCCTCAGAAGCTTCCAGATGTCTTCAACGGGTCTCAGAAAGAGAACATCAGTGTCCACATAGAGCAGTGAGTCCACATCCTTTAAAATCACCTTTGTATGTAATAGGGAAGAGGAGGAAGGAGAAAACAAAAACAAGTCAGAAACAAAGGAAGTGGCCTGATTTCAATAACACCACCAATTTCAATGATTAATGTTGAATTTTAGAAAGGGTATCATTCTCAGCTCCCATTCCTCCATCTCTTTGAACTTGATTGGTAAGTGTCATCCAAGGGGTAGAGACTCAGAGGAAGATAAATCTTGATCTAGATTGGTCCAATTTCACGATCCTGAAATATATTTGGTAAGGTTTGAACTTTCAAAAGCATGAAAACATCAGGAAATTACTGTGGCTCAGTTTTCTTCCATCCTCCAATAAGGCCATCTGTTTGTCTCTGTTTTTTTCTTGGAACAGTTAAGTCTGTCATCACACAATTTGAAGTGGACAATCTTGAAACCAGCTCATGCCAGGCTTTGGACTAAATACCCTGTCTCTGGGTCCATTTATTCCAGTGTTAATGGGTATGTTTTTGAATCTTATTGAAATTATATTTTGAGCTAAGATTTAGACTTAGGAATAGGCAAAGCAAGGCATTGGACAGCTTTGTTTGAAGATCAGGGTCTGGCAAACGTTTTCTCTATAGGGCAGAGAGTAAATATTGTGGGCTCTTTGGAAAACACTCAGCTCTGCCATTATACCACGAAAACATTCATCGACAATGTATCGACAAATGAGTGTGCTGTATTCTACTGAAACCTTACACGGGGACACTAAAACTTGAATTTCATATAATTTTCAAATTTCACAAAACATTCTTTTGAATTTTTCAACGTGTAAAATGTAAAAGCCATTCTTGGCTCATGGGCTGTGATTTGTCAACCTCTGTTGTAGGTCACTGAAGCAAAACACTAAGTAAATGAGTTCTTCTGTGCTAACTGCTTAACTTGCCAGTTTCCCTTGGGTTTGAGACTACAAAGCTTTAGTTAGTAATAGTGTTATTTGCCTTATTTTTCCATTATTCGCCAAATTTAGTGGTAGATTAAAACCAAGAAAGGATTGGAATCCTCCTCAATCCCTGGCCTATCATCCTAACACCATAACACTTGTTATAGACAGAATGTCTGTGTCTCTCTAAAACTCATATGTTAAAGTCCTCACCCCACAATGTGATGGTATTTAGATGGGACCTTGGGGTGGGGATAAGGATCAGATGAGGTCATGAGGGTAGAGCCCTCATGATGGGACCATGACTTCATAAGAGACACTAGACACCAAGCTGTTAAAAAAAAAAAAAAGAAAAGAAACAGAGAAAGGCAGGTGGCCTTATTGAAGGGTGGAAGAACGAGCCAAAGTCATTTGCTGGCATTTTCATTCCTTCAAAAATGCAGCCCTTACCAGAGAGCTCATTCTCTCTCTCTCCACCAAGCAAACACAAGAAGGAATCAGCCTTCTGTAAATAAAAAAGACAGCTCGCATCAGAACCTGACCATGTGGCACCCAGATTTCAGACTTCCAGCCTCCAGAACTATGAAAATAATACATTTACGTTGTTTGAGCCACTAGTCTATGGTATTTTGTTATGACAGGCTGATGAAGACAACACTTCATCGGGATCCCCAATATTTAAAATTGATAAAGATGGTACTGTATGATACAGGTAGCAGAGAGTTTTCATTCATGAATGATTTCAAAGCTTACATGATTAACCATAGGACTTATCTTTCTCATCTACTAGAGGAATAGATTTTATAAACCAGTAAAATAAAATGAAAAATAATCATCTACCATTTCATAAAAGATTACTTGGACATCCATTTTAACAACTTGAAAAATATTAATATCACAATTAGGACATAATTGAATATGCAAACTTAAAAATCTTCTCCACATTATCCTTACTTTTTCCTCTTATTTTGCCATGGAACAGTGAGAACTTTGCCATATATTAGCACTAGTCTGCTGACTTTTTTTTAAAAAAATCACAACTCTAGAGTATTGTGGAGGAAAGGCAAACACTCAAAAGTACTGGCAATGCATGTTACACTAACTGTGTCATATGTAGACACAGTGATGATGTTTTGCATGCCTAAGACCATCCCAAAGACTCAGCATCTGGCCAATCTTATTTTACTGGAAAGGGAAACTAATCATAGAAAAGTCCTCTATTTAAATTCATGCGTCAAATGATACTAACGATTGTTGTGTTTTGGCTAATAAAATTTGGCAAGATAAAGTCACTTCCTAGAATGTGTTTAAGGGAACAAGAAACTACATGGTGTTCCAATTAAAAAGTTAATTTAGAATCACTGAATCAGAGAGGAAAACTATTTCAACCCATGTGAAATAGTATAAATTTGTTTTCATGGCTGATTATCTAATAATTCCTGAATAAAAGCATATACTATTTTAATCAATAAAGGGTTATGTAGACATCTACTCCCAAAATTCAAGCTCATTGAGTTGATTGGTTTAATTTTTTCTTTGCCTTAATTACTATTACTACTACTACTACTTTCTTCAATGAAGTAAATGTGTGATCACCCCTCATTAAAACTAAAAAAAGAAGAAAACACAAAAACTTGAAAAGGAAAACTAAAACGTTCTGAAGGATGGAGGTATTCCATCATGAAGTTACAGGCAATATATTTAATCAATAGAGAAAAAGACAAACAAGTTGTACCAGAAATGCATAAAATCAGAACAATCTTAAATAGTGCAACATTTTTATTTGACCAATATCTTATTATGTGACATACAGATTACTTCTCTTTTTATTACTATAAACACTGAAATGGGTGTCTTTTAGGAAAAATTTTAAGCACATAATATGGCATTTCTTTTTAATGTAGTAAATATTTAGTAAATGTTTATGTGGTTAAAAAATTAAAGCAAATTTCTTGACCAGTTCTTTGTCCGTCTCTTACCAGGCCCCCACACAGGGCAGCCAATGTTGCTGAACTGCTCTCTGTGCAGAGATATTTGTGCATATAAGAATGAGTAGCTATGAATACACAATTCCCTCTTCTATGCTACAAATGATAGCACAGCACACATGATGTCCTCAGCCCACTTGTTTAAAAAAAAATAAAACACTAACAACTCAACAAAAGGAAGACAAAGAACCCAATTAAAAAATGGGCAGAGGAACTAAATAGACACCTCTCCAAACAGGACATACAAATGGCCAACAGACATATGAAGAAATGCTCAACATCACTAATCATCAGAGAGATGCAAATTAAAACAACAATGAGGTATCACCTCACACCTGTCAGAATGGCCGCCATCAACAAATCATCAAGTGTTGGCGAGAGTGTGGAGAAAAGGGGACTCTAGTACACTGCTGGTGGGAATGCAGACTGATGCAGCCACTATGGAAAACAATATGGTGTTACCTCAAAAAGTTAAAAATTGAATTGCCATTTGACTCAGTAATCCCACTTCTAGGAATATACCCTAAAAAGCCTGAAACACCAATCAGAAAGAATATATGTACCCCTATGTTCATAGCAGCACTATTTATAATAGCTAAGATCTGGAAACAACCCAAGTGACCATCAGTAGATGAATGGAATAAAAAGCTGTGGTACATGTACATAATGGAATACTATGCAGATGTAAGAAAGAAAGATCTCTTACCCTTTGAGATGGCATGGAAGGACCTGGAGAGTATTATGCTAAGTGAAACAAGCCAAGCAGAGAAAGACAAATATCACATGATCTCACTTATCTGTGGAATATAATGAACTAAACAAACTGCTGAACAAAATTAACCCAGAGACATGGAGGTGGGGTACAGACTGACAAGCCTTAGAGGAGGGGGTTTTGTGGGGGAAGAAATAAACCACAGAACTTACATGCATGTATGCATGACCAGTGAACATAGACAATAAAGCTGGGGATGGGGTTGGGGGGGGGAGGGTATCAATGGGGGAAAATGAGAAACATCTGTAATAAAAACAAATAAATAAATAAATAAATAAAACAATAAATGTAGGAGGACTTTTTATATCAGTACATAAAGATTTCACTTATTACTTTTTATTCCTAGATAGTATTCCATTGTGTGTATCTACCAAAATGTATCTTAGTCATCTACTGTAGAACACTTAGGTGTTTCTCAGATTTGTAATTACATTGTCACAATGAAAAATCTCCTCGTATTAATTCATTTCGAGCACACGAGTGTATCTTCAGGATAAATTCATTAAAATATAATTCTTTAGGCAAAGAATACATGCACTTTTACATCTGATAGATATTGCCAAACTAACTCCCTTGAAGTGAACCAACTTGGCTTCCCCCAGCAATGTAGGAGAGCGCCCCCTCCCCTCCACGTCACCACACAGGTGTGACCACACGTGGGGTTGGCCTACAAAGAGGGTCCGAGTCCACCATTAATTTTAGTTCATCTTTTCCTTCCAGTCTTGCCCAGGTGGGCTGGCCTGAGGTGGGACCAGGAGGTGCTGCAAGTCTGGAAGACAAGCAATGCGCTCTGAGGATGCGTAAGTGACAGCGCTAGTTCACCTGGAGGCACACGTGCCCCAGGTCCGAACGCTCGCGGGCGGCAGGCCCTGAACATCGCTGTCTCCAGGACCACTGCGATTTCTCCTCCGATGAGGTTAATTCTGGACATACACTTTCTGGATGAGGACTGAGAGACCAGGAAGAAAACTTATCAACAAATCGATGCTACTGCTTTTGGAAAACTTTCAAGTCTTCATTTAGGACGTAAAGCCAGTCGACCTAAAGTAGAGATTGCAAAGCGGGGCCTGCGGGTCAAATCCAGCGCATGGACAATTTTCTTAAATACACAGCCTATTTTAAACTTCGGAATTGGTTGCCAACATTTTTTTAAAACTAGAGATTTCACAGAAAGATCTGAATTTCTGTCTTCTTTGGAAAAATGTACAGCTCCCGCGAAACCAGCCTCCATCACACCAGGAGAAAGCCTGCGGTGCTTGGCTGCAGGCCCTGCGCGTTCCCAGCGCAGCCACATGCCAGACATTGACGGAGGGCCGCCAGGTGCCAGGTGTGACCACAGTGACCGAGA